CCAGAGCCACCCGCATCCCTGCCTCTTCATCCTTGCTCCTGAGGCTGACAATTCCTAGTGGGCAGAAGAACACTGTAGGGTTTCAGGCTGACTAAGGAGAAAGGCCTGAGGCGGCCTATCCCAGGCCTCCTCCAGTCTCTAGGCCTGGTGGCCTCACCCAGAGACACCAGTACAAGAGCAGTGACTACCTGTGGTCTCGATCCCCAGGGGACCTGGACCACCCACTGTGGTATGGGTCTCTCCCAGGAAGGCTGGGAGTCTGGGAATGCTGCCAGGGGACCACAAGGTACCCGGGGTTCTGAAGCTGGGGGATGACGGGTGGGTAATCATGACAGATGTGGTGGCCTAGCCTGGGGAGGAGCAGCTGGGCAGAAGTGGGGGGACAAGCCCCACCTCTCATCCCATCCTGACCCCGAGGAGACTCTGAGCAGGGCCCCCAACCTCGCAGAGCCAGCCCACAGAGGGTGAGGTAAGAGTCTGGGAGGTAGCGGGTAGGAGGAACTCAGTCCTGGTCTTGGCTTCTTCTCACTGGGCAGTTTCTGAGGCTGCCAAGAAAGCTGCCTGGACACTGCATTGTGTTGGGAATACAGGTGGTGTCAAAGCTCTCCTCTATAAGCTCAAGAGAGTCAGGGAAAGAAGCCACACCATGGTTTGATTCCCAGCTCTGCTCCTCCCTAGCCTGGCCTCAGACAGCGTGTTCCTCCGAAGTCCTGGGTTTATGGCTGTGGACAGGCCCCACTCCCTCCCTCAAAGTAAAACTCCTCAGCACCTGGCCTGGCCCTGTTTAGCGGTCAGGAAGGGTAGGGCCCTCCCTCGTGCCTTTCCCAGACACACACACTCCCTGTGCACACAGGCCCCAGGTAGGGGCCTCAGGCCACTGCATAATGGGAGATGGGGCTGGGGCTCGGGACTGATGACAGGTCTCTGCACTGGTGTTCGGCCCAGAGGGTAAGGGGACAGCATAATAATTAAACACACATGCAAGGGAACCCGCAGTCCCAGGTTCCAGTCCCAGAGCTGCCTCAGCCAGGCTAGATGACCTACAGCACGTGACTAATCTCCCTGAGCCTCAGCTTCCTCATCTGTGAGTGGGTGGGTGGGGTCAGCGGTCCCCTGGGGCATGACTGTCATGAAGGTTCGAGGACGTAGTGACAGACCTAATGGCACACGGCAGGTACTTGATTAAATGGCACCATTGGCTCATCCATAACATCACTCGTGTCCAAGGTCTCAAAAGGTACCTGAACATCCTCATTGGGGTCTTGGTGGCCCTTGTCCTGCTGTTCTCCCTCCTCCTCTTCCTGCTTCTCCGACACTGGCGTCAGAGTAAACGCAGGATGTCAGGTGAGTAGGGAAGAGGTGGCCCGGTTCAGAGGATGGGGTAGGCTCAGGACACCGGCCAGAGCGAAACTAGATGGATGGGGAAGGTCAGCTGAGAAAACCTCCAGCATTTCCCAACAAGAAAAATCTGAAGATATTACACGTGAATGTACGTGTACTTTCCAGTATTCTTTTGGCTTTCCTAAACTTACAGAACTTTGAAAGCGTGCAGGCTTTGTTTTGCATCATTCAGACTGCTTTCTCTAGCGTTGTGTGGAGGTGGGGACTACAATAGTAGTTGTTAGATCCTCTGCAGGTCTTAGTGTAGCCCCAGGGGAGGCCTCTGGGTGGGCTGGAGGCTGACTGCCACCTTCCCACAGTGGCTGCATCAGAGCCTGAGGACAGAGGCCTGCAGAAAAGGTGAGCACCCTCAAAGACCCCAATTCCCACTCCCCCACAGCCATCTCACTGTCCCCTAATACTCTGTCTCCTCCCCCAGCTCTGGCCCAGCTGCTGACGTCCAAGAAAACTTGTGTAAGGGGGTCAGGGGAGGCTGTCCTGAGGGGATGACACGGGCCCAGAGAACATGGGTGGGCCACGGAAGCTGGGAGTAGTTCGACATGGTTCTGGGCTTCGGGGTGACAGCAGGGATCTGATACTGTGTGACCCTGGCCACACCACTGACCCTCTCTGGGCCTCTGCCAGTGAGATCTCAGGGCATCTTAGCAAGAGACGAAACCCTTCTTGTCTCCACCAGATGCTGCTGTGAAAGACACACCTGATGACGGACAGCTGGACAGTCAGGTGAGCTCCGTCCAGTCCTGACTGGGGGCTCCCTAAAACCATCCTCACATCGCTCAACTCTGGGTAGCCACTCCCTTCCAGAAGCACATGGCTCTGTCACTGCAATCCTGCAGCCTCCCTGGTCTCCTCCACTGGCCCCTCTGCCCTCCTAGCTGTCGCAGGTTCAGGTGGAGGTGGCGACGAGGCCAAAAGTCAGGGCTGAGCACAGAGGGCTGACATCCACACCTTGGGCCTACAGAGGCCGGAGGGTGCCTTCTAAACCTGTACAAAGGGCCCTGTAGCCTTGCTCACTCTGCCGTCTGTCCCATGAACCCAACATGGGTGATGATTGGCTCTGGACGCCATGGCAGGCTCACTCAGCTCACCATAGCGAATGGATGACACTCCTCAGGAGTGTAGCAGGGTTTGACTATCTCTCCATGCTGATGGCTCCACACCCAAATCCTATCTCCAGTCCCGACCTCTCCCCAGTACCAGACCCATACCTCTAACCTCACATCCCTCCTCCACCAGACCCCCTGATATGTTGACTGATGGACTAGGACCAAGGCTACCCCCAAATCCAGCAGAGCCCTGACAAAGGTCCTCAGGACTGTCCTTTCCTCTCTGGCCTCAGGCTGCCCCACCCCAACTACTCATCTTCATTCTTCCCCCACTGCAGGCTGTAGTATCTGAAGACCTCCAGGATGTGACCTACGCCCAGCTCAACCATGGGACCCTCAGAAGGGAGATAAGTGCACTCCCTTCCTCCTCAGAGCCCCCGGATGAGCCTAGCCTGTACGCTGCTCTGGCCATCCACTAGCCCAGGAAGGACACAGACCGCACACTCCTGAGTGGCCCTGCAGGGACAGCAAAGGAGCCACCCCCATGGATACTCAATTAGTGGCCCTGGCCAGAATGAAGCCCTCCTGGGACCTTGCAGAAGTTAACTACTTCCAGGGACTCCATCGTTACACAGCTCGTCTTACAGTCCCTACCAAAGGGACCCCACTGATTTCAAGGACCCTGTGGAACTGCCATCGAGGCCGTAATTCCACAAGTGATAACCTTGGGCTGAGGGAGACAGGTCTACTACCAGCCCGGTACACCACAGCCATCTCTCTGAAGCTGGGCACTCAACCAACCTCAGAACCTGAAAGCCCCATCAACAATGACCCACTACAGGGTGCAGGGTGGCTGTGGCCGCAGAGGGGTTGCTTAACTCCATGTTTCTCACTTCCTGAGACCAAGTCCCTTCCTTCTCAGCCTGATGTGGCTTCTTAGCAAGGCAGATAAAAGGGAAGCCTGCTCACTCCTGACCACGAGTCTTCAAACTCCAAACAAAGGAGTAGGGGCGCCTCCCACAGCCTAACCCATTCCCTACTTCGCAATTTGCATTAAGACACAGAACTGGGAACCTGACCATCAACCACATCCCTAACAAGCTATTAAAATCAGCCTATAGATGTTATTAAATCCTTCCCACCAAAAACCAACCAAAATAATTCCAGCTTCACCAGCAATGGAGGTGGACAGGATCAGCTCTCAGCTCTGTCCTCTTACCCTGACTTCTCCTGCCAGGGGTCAGGGTTACAGGGCTGGGGCTGCTGGCTGACACCTCCCTCCACTTGCAGCTCTTCAGCCTGGAAATGACTTCCCCATCCCCATCACAAAATGTTGGCTTTCAGAACTTCCTTCTAATTTTGGCTCTTCCCTCTAACATCTTGGTCTCCCGCTGTGATGTCAGTATTGATGTTTTGTTCACTACTGTACCTCTGCCCTAGGACAAAGACCAACCTGGCAGGAGATCATGGGTTAGCACACACAGAAACCAAAACAGGTACGGGTTAGAATGGCCCAAGCAATGGTGACATGCAAATTCGCGAAGCGGTCCCCATTTTTTGATGGATAGTAACTAGACTTTTCACAGGTGATCATTTTGTAGTATACACAGATGCTGAATTACGCTGTACACTGGAAACGTAATTTTAAAAAAGCCCACTAGGACCTGACTGGACCGGGCTAGCCAGGCCTCTCCTCCACAGGGGGCACCGTCGAAGTGTGAGCTGGCTAAGGCAGCCTGGAGAGGGCTGCCTGTGCCCCTTCCCACTATACCAGATCCTTGTTCAGAGCAGGGAGGGGGAGACGCACCAATAAAGACCAGTTCCACAGTGGTGATCTGTTTTATTAGCTGACTGGAAAACTAGACTCTCCACCAGTCCAGACGGGGAATCACAATCTTAATCCTCCTCCTCATCGTCGCCAGCTCCGGCCCCACCCTGGCCCTTCTTGGCATTCTTCCTCTTCACGCGGCCTGGGCGGCCGCCTCCATATGGGGAGCGGAGGGAGAAATCGATGTGCTTCTGGGAGTCCAGGCGGACAATGAAGGACGGGATATTCACCACCTGCTTGCGGACCCTGGAAGCGGGGGGCAGGCAGGTGAGGGGCATAGATGCCACTCCCCTCCAGCTGGGGCTCTGCAGTGGGGTGGAGGGAGCTGGTGACAGTGGCGCTGGCACTGACACAAGCAATGCCACAGGGCACCCTGACCCCACAGACTGTGTTCACCTGACCTGTGGGCACTATGACAAGCATCTCCCATTTCAGAGGGAGATTCAGGAGTAACCACACAATACCACAAAGCAAACGAGGCAGGGTGGCAGCATACAAACCCAAGATCTGTGCTGGGCACTGAACGCCATTATCACACAGCTTCATGTTGGCAGCAGCAGCCCGAGTCTAGGCTCTACGAAATTATGTCCAACTCAAAATGGGAGTGAGGCTCTTGCCCATAAAGCGCAGGGCTGGGGAAGGGCCAAGGCAGCAAGCCAGCGTGCAGACACCCTGCCCGCTATTGCAAAGCATCCCCTTATGGGGCCTGGCGTATGGAGGGCCAGCAGTACCACAGAAGGACCCACCGGCCCTGGCCAGTCTCGCTGCGCAGCATCTGCGCCCCGTCAGAACCTGGACTGTAGTGCATTCCCCATTACGCTAATGGCCACTGCACAAGAATGTAGCAACACTCAGGGTCTGTAATGACCTCACAAGAACACTCAGGAGATGGCTGACCCCACCCAAGCCAGTTAAGGCCCAGTGATACCTCTCGACTGGAGGACACTAAAGCCATTACCTGTCTAGCTGCCTGCATACTCGGCAGAGGCCTTCGCAAGGTGTACGGCTCAGGCCGCAGTGACCCTTGCACTGGACTATGGGGGGATGAGGCAGCCCCAGCCCCCCATGAGCTGTTTGTAGGGGTCAATCTGTACCCTCAAGGTGAGCTCAGATCTTTGTCACCTCCAAGGGCTGCACAGGAGACAGGAGAGGGACAGCAAGCTTAGTGAGGGCAATGTTCAGAGGGGATGGAGGAGGCCTCGGGGAGCCTGCCAGGTATTACCTGATGTGGCGCTGGCGGATCAGCACGCGAGCATGATGGATGGACTTGGCCAAGCCCAGCTTGAAGACCTGGGTCTGCAGGCGCCTCTCCAAGAAATCTTCGATCTTCAGGCCCAGGATGTAATCCAGCTTCATCTTGCCCTCATCTAGCACCCCGATGCGGACAAGGCGCCGCAGCAGGGCATTGCCTGGCGAGGGGAAGGGGGCATGAATCAGGGTTTTGGCTGAACTGGTACCTGACAGGTTCAAATCCTCCAGCAGCTCCACACATGCTGGTGGAACATCGGTGGGAAGTAGGAGCTAATTCTGACATAGGACTCAATGCACCAGCCACTATGTGACTCACATGGCCCCTCGCACAACCCTAAGGCAGGATCCTATGGCTATATCCACCTGACCACAGAGGGCGAGTGATCTGTGTTCTCATTTGGAAAAGGAGAACCGTCCTCAGAGTTGACAGCAAGAGAAAATGAGACAATCCCTGTAAGAGTTTGGCTTTCACTATAATATTCACTTATGGCTGTCATGAAACTACTTCCCATTAACAAAGCACAGTGGGTGACAGCTAATACTCTGGAGTCAAAACAGCCCTACTGGTCTCACCACACAGGCTCCTAGCTCATCAACACCCAACACTAGGGTAAAAAACCCAAACTTCTGTTCTTAAAGGATTAGTTTCAGGAGCAGGTAAAACAGGGTAAAGGAGGTCAAATATATGGTGACCGAAGATTTGACTTTGGGTGGTAAACACGCAATGCAACATACAAATGTTATCATAGAATTGTATACTTGAAACCTATAATTTTATTAACCAATATCACCTCGATAAATTTAGTTAAAAAAAAAAATAAAAAAATAAAGTTCAAAGGAAAGGATTAGTTTCACCTTTTATGAAATAGCTATCATCTTCCATTTTGGCAAAACAAAATTCAAGCAAGTTCCATAAACAATGGACACACTTACTGGACACTTCCTTATCCCCCCAGGGAAAACTTGAAGGAAAGCTGGCTGATTTCGTGGGCACTCCAGTGGCAAAGGGGCCCTTGTCATGGCACGAGGCAAGTACTGAAGCGCCTTAGTTCCTAATACGAAAAATAGATAAACCTATCCCTAAGCTGTTGTGAGGATAGAGTTTATACTGGTCAGTGCCTGACTGAACCACCAGCCAAATGCTGGCTGTTGTTTTAAAGGTTAGTCTTTAACAGATGAGACTCAGGGCTGACAAGTCACACAGGTGACTGATCAAAAACAAGGAGGGTTTGTACCAGTGAGGACCTGTGCAGTAGTAGAGTTCTCAGGCTTCTCCTTCCTGTCCTGTGGTTAAATGCTGCCTTCCCCCTGCAATGTCTATTTCCGCCCTGGGAAACCACAAACAGTCCTTGAACACCTACCTCTCAACCTAGCCCTACACCATCATTTTGCCACAGGACTGTCATCTAACCCAGACTTGAGTAAGTTCAATTAGCCCTGTCTGCGGAGTCCTCCCCAAAGCCAGGACCAGCTGGGGCCTGCTCTCTACAGCCTCTGGGATAGTCTCACCCAGGAACTTTCATAAGATTGTCAAAGGGGTTTATGAACTAAGGAAAGAATAATGAACCTCTAACATCTGTGAGCCTGAAATAGATTTAAGTGCGATAAATCTGTGATGATTACACAAGCTCCAGCCTTTCTCAACCTGATGTGGATGGCCACTCTCCTGCTCACAGTGAGAGCGCAGCTCTAAGAGCACCCCTTTAGTCACAGGTTGGGAGAAAAACCACACGAGTGACACTAACTGAAAATTAAGAGAAACGCCAGGTATCCAAGGAAGCCAGGCCTAATTCCCAGGCCCTCCTGCTTTCTATACATCAGGCTAATAGCAGTATCAGAATGACAGATGTCAGACAGCCAGTGGTAGCAGTAACTAAAAACTTGTAGAATTTTGGGTAAATTGTATGATATGTAAATTTCATCCTAATGTCATTACAAACAACAAACAAATTACAGAACCACTTAAAGCCAGACTCCACTTCTGTTCAAATCAGATCTACACCCAGGATACAATGTAGGGTATACTTGCCAAGTTAGAAAGCCTCTGAAAGAGTAATATCAGTTGCCACTCCTACAAGGCTGCTGTGCAGGTTAAATAATATATGAAGAGCTTAGAAAGACACTTAGTCCAATCCTTATGAAATATCAGCTATTTTAATATTATTGCTATCTTATAATGTTGAGATAACTATTAAAATTTGAGTGTGATGTCAATCTTTGCTCTGGAAAGCCCTCCATTAACTTCTAATCTCAAAGTAGAAATTTAAGACCTTAAGCTAGTCTAAATGTTCTTTCCTGTGACATCCATAGGTCCTTCCCTGTTCAGGCCTTTGCTAAATGTCACCTAAATGTCCTTGACCACCTTATTAAAGCAGGCAAATGTACATAGCCAAGTCCCTCCCCACAATCACCATGAGATATTTCAGAAATTTCACCATCTATTCTCAGCACCAGCATACACCGATAAGCTGCAGAACTGTTTTGTTACATTACATAGTGACAGCAAGGAGCCCAAGCTTGCTTGGCATCCCTAGTTCTAGTCAAGAGTATATTGAAACTCCAATATTTGGGTAAAACAAGGTCACACGCATAAAGAATAGGGTAGAGGTTTGGATCTTGATCCACTTCTCCTAGTCCACAATTTTCATTATACGCCAGGTTACAAGGCTGGTTCTACTTGTTTAATGTCCTCTGATCACTCGACTAGGAGGCCTAGAAGAACGGAAGCAACTCTGCACCTAATCCCTTCCCTGAGGGCTGCCGTACATACCTTCAAACAGACGTCGTGGGTCTTTCTCGTCCAGCGTCAGCAGCTCCCGGGCAGCCTTGCGGATCTTAGCCAGAGTAAATTTGACCCTCCAGACCTCACGTTTGTTCCGGAGCCCATACTCACCTGCAAAATAAGGGAGTGGTTGACGTGCAAACAGGCACAGTCCCACAGGCTAGTACAAAAGCTGGACTGCTGGCTTTGGGAAACAGGAAAATCAAAACCACGCAGTCCTAAAGGACACATCGCAGGACTCGAACTGACAGCACAGCACATGGGCGGCACTCACATGCTAGCCTTCCCTCGACCCCGGAAGCCGAAACTTTGCCCTGGCCACTCACCGATCAGCTTCAGCTCTTGATCGAGTCGGGATTTCTCGAAAGGTCGCCGCGGGGTCACGTAGGTTTTACGACAAACCCAGCTCCGGGCCACCGGCATGTTGGCTCCGCTTGTCCGTCTGCACCTGCGCGAGAAGAAATGCTGAGCGTGAAGACTTCGAGCAGCGCCTGCGCAGTCCCACAACTACGCTAGAACCCCATGGCGTTCAAATCTTGTGAGAATCGTCCCTAAAGCTTCTACAAATGGCTTCATCCCACAAACGAGTGGCCGCCTTGTCCTCATCTTACCCCCAACCTCTTCACCGTTATCATTAAAGCTCAGAAGGCTCGCACAACTTTACAACCCACAATCGAACTAGAAAACACAGGAGCAAACCTTACACACAGACTCCGGTAACTGAGAAAGAGGAGCCCACACGGTCGGGCCGCGCTCTTATAACACCGCTGCCGTTCAGTGACGTCAGCACGCAGGCGCACGCCTACACCAATCAGAAGAGGCGTTGGCGGGCGGAAAAGCGGTGGAGACTAGAGGTTGGGCTAGAGTGGCGTTTGCGGAGCTGGGAGGATCTCGTCCCTGCCTGACGGGGAGTCGCCTCCGCCCCTAGGTGGTGACGTAAGTCCAGCCAACTAGCCTGAGTCGGGTACAAAGTTGGGGTGGTTGCCTCCACTCTCTCCAGACCTCAGCGGGCTGAGGCTCCGCGAACTCACAGCTTCTTCCAGAAGACTCTTGGTGAGGTGAATTCCGAGGTGAATTCCGTGAATAATGAAGTCGTATTTCCCGTCAGGATAATGTCACCCCGAAGCATAACAGAAGCCAGCCTGCCCTTTAGAACCCTGACTACACATCTGCGGGGTGAAAGCAAAAAGCAAGGTTCCATCGAGTCACAGCTCTGTGACTTGCTTAAGGAGACACAGCTCAGCTTTCCATCCTGTCAGGACTCCAATTTTGCCTTCTTCGCTTTTTGTAGACGAGAGCGAAAAAAGCCTTGGTAGAAATTCGGCCATTCCTGGAATGTTTATCATTTAGTGGCTCTAGCTACCTCCAGGGACAGTCGCCCTCCCTCAGTGTGAGCCTCGTTGACTGATTTACGCAGCAGTTTATCGAGCAGCATGAAGAATTGTTCTATTCGGTGGCCTATAGCCGTGAGTGAAACAGCTCCTCTACTCATGAGCTGAGAGCCTTAGGGAAACGGAAAAAATAATAAGTTGAACGAAGTAAATCGCTTCAGAGTGGGCGCCATGCGGGAAATAGATTTACTGATAATGATGGAGGAAGATGGTACTTTGGTTAGGATGGTCAGGGGTGGGCTCTTTAAGGAGGTGACTTTTTTTTTGTAATTCGAGACCCAAGTATATAAAGGCTTTGTGCCCCTTTATCAAAAAGCAATTTATATCCTGAGGTTCCCAGAACAGGGAAAATGTTCTGAAACCTCTCGCTGTATGTTCTGCTCCACCTTGGTGCCATTTGTCACCCTGTTTTTGATCTTTGTCAACATCTCACCTAGGATTATTTCCTCTAGTCCTTTCCTTTCTGGAGTAATCCCAGTCACACCAAGGGCTTTACTTATCATTGTTAGATAATGTTTAATGAGCACTTTAAGTATACTAGGCTTGGAGCTAAACACTTTATCTGGGTTTTTTAAAATTCTTATGATCCATGATTTCTATCACTAAAAGTAATAGATGGCATTCAGAAATGTTTACTATGTACAAGGCACTGTTCTAAGAACTTTACATGTATTACTTATTTAATTAATACATACATACTTGAGTAGTCTCAGAGAAGTTGCCCTCTTTCATCTTGGTACTATTAGCAATACCCACCTAAGGAGTACTAATACTGTTATCACGATGTGGAATAAATTAAGGCCCGCCAAATGAGAACAAACAAAGGCCATTTATTCAGAGTAAGCACGTCGGTCACCTTCACTTCCGTTTTGGCAGAGAGACTCCAAGTTGTAACAAACCTCCATAAAAACCCCAAAGGAGAGGGTTCGGTGAGCTTCCAGGTTAGTGAGCACAAGATTTGGACAGAGTGGTGTACCTGGAATTTCATGACATCAGCATGATTAATTAAAATCATTGGCCTTGAGTGACTGAACTCAATCTTCAGCCCCTCTCCACACTGGATGGAGGGGAGATATGGAGATATTGAAAGTTAAAAAAAAAAGAAAGAACAAAGAAACAAAGTTCCATCCCTCAAATCACATGGTTGGTTTTCCTGGCAACCAAACCCCAACCTTAGGTGTATTCCAAAAGTTGCTTCATTTACATAAACTTGGGTATGGTTGAAGGGGGTTTTTGTTGTAAATATCAAAACACCTTTACTGCTCTTATTACTTTAAGAAATTCCAAGGGTTTTAGCTTTGTGCCAGGAACAGGGACAAAGACCAAATATATATTTCTCATTATAAATTACAATATCACATTAGTGCTAACTGGTAAGGCAAGTAAATCAAGAGGGGAGGTGCACGTGGGAGTGTTAAATTTGAAGGAAAGGTGACTGCGGATGGCCTGAGAAGGAAAGACCAGCTGGCAGTGAGGGGCAAGACCACATGGCCATCTAAGGAAAGCATGTTTCAAGTTGGGTAGCAGGTGCAAAGACAGTGAAACAGGATTTTGTGCAAGAGGCTGATGCACAGAGAGGGGGATGGATGCATTGGGTCAGAGTTAAAGAGGAGCCTACAATGTAGGGCCTTTGCTTTGACCCTGAGATGGGAAATGGCTGGAGAGTTTTAAACAGAGGAGTGACATGGTCTGACCTATCTTTTAACCCAATGGTTGAAAACAGACAATAGAGGGGCAAGGGTGAAAGCCAAGGGGATGAGTGAGGGAGCTAGCAATCATCCAAGTGAGCAATGTCCTGGCTTTTGGCAACATGTTGGCACTGAAGGTAGAGCGAAGTGGTCAAATTCTGGGTCTGCAGTGTTTAGAAGTTAGCACCTATAGGATTTAGTGAGTGATTGGATGTGAGGGCACCAGTCACAATATATTTTTTAAGGTTTTTTTTAGAGCAGTTTCAGGTTTACAATAAAATTGAGGTCAAAATTTCCAATCCACCCCTACCCATCATCCACATGCAGAGCCTCCCCCATTATCCACATCCCTCACCAGTGATACATTTGTTATCACTGATGAACCTACACTGACACTTAACACCTAAAGTTCATAGTTCAGAGTTCACAATGTGGTACATTCTATGGGTTTGGACAAATGTGTGAGGACATGTATGTTATTATAGTATCATACAGTCGTTTCCCTGCTCTAAAAATCCTGTGCTCCAACTATTATTCATTCTTCCCTCCCCACTCCAACCCCTCATCTTTTCATTCTCTCCACTGTTTTGCCTTTTCCAGAATGTCGTATAGTTGGAATCATACAGTATATAGCCTTTTCGAATGGTTTCTTTCACTTAGTAGTATGCATGTATGGTTCCTTTATGTTTTTCAGAGCTTGAAAGTACATTTCTTTTTAGCACTGAATAACATTCATTGTCTGGGTATACCACACTTCATTTATCCATTCACCTCCTGAAAGATATCTTGGTTGCTTCTAAGTTCTGGCAGTTATGAATAATGCTGCTATAAAAGTTGCAAGTTTTAGTGGGTTTGTTTTCAACTCCTGGATTTCAATTGCTGGATCTTATGGTGAGAGTATGTTTAGTCAGAACCACCCAACTGTCCTCCCTGGTGGCTGTGGCATTCTGCATTCCCACGAACCATGAACAAGAGTTCCTGTTGCTCCGTATCCTCACCAGCACTTGGTATCAGTGCTCTGGGTTCTGGCCTTTCTAATAAGTGTGTAGTGGTACCTACACACTTGATTTGTATTCCCATGATGGCATTTTTCATATGCTTATTTGCCATCTTTTATCTCCTTTCGTGAGGTGTCTGTTAAGGTCTTTGGCCCATTTTTTAATCACATTGTTTTCTTATTGTTGAGTTTCAGGAGTTCTTTGTATATTTTGGACAACAGTCCTTTATCATATATGTCTTGTACAGTATTTTTTCAAAGTTTTTAATTTTAATGAAGTGCAGCTTATCAATGCTTTCTTTCATGGATCATGCCTTTGGTGTTATATCTAAAATGTCATGCCAAATCCTAGGTCATCTAGGTTTATTCTAGGAGTTTTATAGTTTTACATTTTACATTCAGGTCTATGATGCACTTTGAGTTAAATTAATCCAAACATACAGGAAATTAAGATTCTATCAATTTTGTTTACCAAGAAGGACAAGAACGAAAGAAATTGGGGGGGAAATTAAGGAACTAAAGAGAGACTTTCAGCCCCAGGATTTTTACCACAGGACTGTATTACAGTCATAAAATCTATGTGATAAGACTATACATTGTTTCAATGTATGTATAAATATTTGAAGTGGGTACTGATAATATTCTACTAATTTCTCAAGCAGAAATGGCGATATAGCAATCATTTTATACGTTTTAGCTTTTATAAAAATAACATATATAAAGAATCTAGAAAAATATGTACAGTATAAAAATAATTCTCAAACCCTGAATAAACACCTGTCAGGCTAACAAAAAGAACATTGCCAGTATTCCAGAAGGGGAATGTTCAAGAGCCTTTCCTGACATTCCCTTCCTCACTCCAAACTCCTGTCCTACAACAGCAACACTCACCTCCTTCTCTTCATGTGTTATTTTTATTTACCTCTTTGTATGCATTTGAAATGTTTTGTAAAAACTTTTTCAAAAGGAGGTTTAGTGCAGTAGGAAGAGCTCAGACTTCATTGAAAGTCACAAAGACCAGGTTTTCAATCCCAGCCCTGCTACTTACTATCTGTGACCTTACTATCTGTGACCTTGGGCAAGTCATTTTTCCTCCTCCAAACTCTTCCTCAAATGTCCACACTTCCCAGGACTGTCCTAAGGATTCAAACCACAAACTCCACATTTATTCAACAAGTTTATTGAGACCTCTTGAGACCTAAGCCCTGTAGAAAACAGAAATGAATCAAACCCAGTCTTCATTCTCAAGAAGCTCAACGTTTGGAAATAAATAACTACAAAAACAACAGAGCCAATAAGTGTTTTGAAACAGGGAAGGACATAAGAAAGATGCAGTTTTTATAAATCTGGAATCAAAAATGAACTGCAGGGAGAGGTAGGAGGGAGTTCTAGCCTCCCATGCAGAGGTGAAAATGGGACCATCTGGAAAGGCTCTTGTCACAGACATAGCCACACCCATAGGTCTCTGGAGTTCACTGCAGGCTGGCCCACTGCAAGGAGGTATAGACCACCTTACCATCAGGCTGTGGAGAGCACAGGAGCAGCGTCTTTTTGACACTGGTTCCGAGGCGGCCAGCAGAAACCAGATCCTGGAGTGGGATGGAGTCCCCAGGAGCCCAGCACTGGGCAATGTAGTGGGCATGGAAACGGAGTGGGTCACCTGGGTGAGGAAGAGAGACATGCAGCAGTTTCCAATGACACGGGGCTGTTAGATATCAGACTGCTCACAGGTCGGAGACAGAGGACCAATTTAGCCATCACTATGAGTATTTTAAAAGATACCCTTGAACCCAGAAAGTCGTCTCGAAATTTTTCTCTTAGAAGTATAGTGACAATAAAATCTACCTATAAAGATGTTCATTTTGTTGTCATTTACAATAGCTAAGAAGTAGAAACATGGAACTGGTTAAATTCATAGTATATCTATAAGATCAAATATTATACAACCATTAAGATTATATAGGTTCTGGTCAAGATGGTGGATCCAGGAATTCCAAAAGCAGGTATACTAGTGACTTAATTCTGTCAACCACGAATCTGGTTAAATTTATGTTTGAATTCTAAGATATTAAGTGCATGGTATGCTTTGTCTATTAAGCCCCCTCTCCATTTCTATAAATTTATTCAACCACTATAAAGACCAAAGAAAATAAAAACAAAAAGCCAACCTATATATACAACTTTACTTCAAATCCACAAAATACCCCAATGGGGTGGGAAGAGATGACGGAGTAGAAAATGAATGAATGTCAGTGTAATTGAAAAAAAGATTAAAAGAATGTACCAACTTGGATGGTGGTCAAGGATACACTGAGGGGGAGGAAAGGGGAAGGAGGCTGTCACACATGTAAAGCATATTCTTATTTAAAGCAGAAACAAATAATCGACTATATCATTGTCATGACCTGAGAAACAGGACTACGAAGTCCATTGAAGCTAAAGGACATTATGTAAATACCCAATGAGAAATTACTCTAACAGACTAAAACAAATAAGACAAGAATTTATAATAAGATGGCATAATAAATAGATGGCATGAGAGTCAACAAAATTTTTATGAAAAGGGCTAGACAGTAAATATTTTGTTTTATGGGCCATGTTGCAAATACTCAACTGCCACTGTAGCACACTAGAAGCCACAGACCATATGGAAACAAATGGACAAGACCATTTCAATAAAGCTTTATTTAAAAAATCAGTCCATGGGCCAGATTTGACCTGGGGGGCTGTGGTTTGCCCCCCATTAGATGACTAATCAATTAGAGTAGGACCATAAGTGGGACACTACACAGAAGATTAAGTAACACATAATGTAAATGTAAAAGGACAAGGCTCTGAGACATGCCATCTAAGAGAACTATCACAGCAACTATAAAACAAGGCAGTTTCCAGGAACTTCTCTGGTTGTTATGATACTTCTACCAGCTGAAAAGGAAGCAACAAAATGCTTGAGAAGTTCCTCCAAAACTCAGAACTCAGAGGCTTAGCATCTCTTGACATTAGGAAAATTTAATATTAGACTTATTAGAAATATTTAAGAGATTCTGACCTGGGATATGAATCTTTAGGGGACAAGGATTCAGTGCATATCTGGTATATTGAGTATTTGCTATTTTAAAAATATTAATCTATTAAACTAACAGGTCAGCCCTGTGGTTGTTTCAAATGTGTGACTGAGTAATTGATGGATTTAAATTTACTTTAACCTGAAGTATTAATAAGTCTATTAACAGTGTTAAACTTAAACTCACCCCATTCATAATTAGATTTAAATTACAGCGAGTTCCATTATCAGAAAAATACAGAACTTAAAAAGGAAAATACATTAAAATTTTAAATGCAGCTTACAATATTTAAAACTAATTCCTTTTCCATATGGGACCAAACATGAACTAATGACCCCCTTAAAAATCTGAAAATTGAACTGAAAACTTAGAAAAGAACTACATATCAGCATTTGTATGTTTAATAAATTGAAAATTCATTTTCAAAACAAAAATAATCTTTTTTTGCATACAAGTCACCAAAAAACAGTAGCAAAGTAATGAAACCATGGTCATCTGTGGAGAATGGGGCAGGTAAACTGTTCTCAGCTCCTAAATAAGTCACTTAAATTATGCTTTTAGTGTAAAGAGAAACAAAGGCTCTCAGATCAGCAGAAGACTTAGTGGACAGTCTCCAACCAATAGCTAAGATCTGACTACTCATTAAGTAGTTTTATCTTTCCATGTTCTTATGAGGAACAAAAATAGTGTTCTCTGCAGATTTATTTAACCTTTTAGTTACATAATAAAGGCACCCTTACTACAAATTCAAAAATGAACTGACTCGTCAAAAGTCCCCTTTACCTATATTTGATGCAAATTACCTCCCAGAGGTAAACCGTTGCAGTTGGGCTGGAGTATATCCTTTCACCCGTTTTTCTACTTGCTGATAGGATTCTCTTAGCCTGCTTAGTATTACATTTTAAGTTCTTTTCATATTCTTTTATTAGACCCACAATTTTTAAGGCTACTTAAAGAATGAACAAATAACTGCACAACAATACAAAATGATTTACTTTTTACTATATGCATTTTCTGCAAGCTGTTATTTTTTTCTCCCATTGGTCATTTTTTAAATAAATACATGGACCTATATCAATCTGACAACTAACACTGTTTCTTTAACAACTAACAGTGATGTTTAACCACTAACCTATTAATCACCATTCTGGTTGTTATCAAACTTTTCAATACTGTAAGAATCCTGTAATAACTATTTCTTCTATGTTTGGTGCACATATCTAAGTATTTCTAAGTGAAACTTGGATGTAAGGAAGTGCTAATAAGATTTACTAAACTGCCTTCCAAATGAGTTTGGGTTCCCAAGTGTTTCCTGTCCTTCCACATGTTTCAGAGGCTTAGAAAGAGAGGCAAACAGGAAAAACACAGAATGTGGTGGGATTGTAAAGAAAGGGACAGCAACCAGAGGTCTGGAGCCAAACTCACCAGGATAGACCAGGAAGTCGCCCCCAAACTTGCCAGCGGCGCTGAGGAAGAAGCCTCGCTCCCACAGGTCTCTATAGATGCTGTAGCGCAGCTCATGGGCCGGACGGCCAGCATGGGGCCAGTCTTTGGACTGGACACGCCAGTCCAGGGGCCGCGCCTTGATGGGTCGAGGCCTAGCAGTGGCCAGCTGGACAAGCAGAGCAGACCTGGGCAAGAGAGCCACCCCATCTGAAGGCCCTGGCTGGGGAGAAGGGTAGCCTGGGGGAGGGGAATCCAAGAGTTTGGTGAATCCAAGAGGCAAGGTCTTTCCGTCCCCCAGGAAAATCCGGGCCCTAAAGTTATGGCCAAAGTTAAAAGATCTCTCCCCTCCTTAACGTGGTCCCTGGACTCCACTTCTCATCCTCACCTGCTTCATCGTACTCCCTAGAAGCCTGGCTAACACTGGCTTCATTCTCTCCAGCATTGGCCTCCTGGCTCTCGCTGGCCCCCAAATCTGGTTCCAGCTTCTGCTTCTTGGCAGCCTGGCCCTCTGCAATCTTCTCTAAGATTTCCTGGCGACGGGTCTCACGGGCCTCAGCTGCCAGGGCGCTTTGCTCCTGGAAGCCCTGCTCTTGTTGGAGCTTGAAGGATGCCAGAGCCTGAGAAATAAACTCAGCTGGAACCTCAGGATCCAGGTCAGCACTCCGTCGAGAAGCCAGAAATCCTGACTCCCTGGCCCCCCTCGACTTAAGCGCTAGCATTCGGGAATCCCAGTCACCTACTCCCACATTATTCCAGAATTCAGGACTCCCAGACTCCCTCCACTCGGGTCTCCAGCCTCTGCTCCCGCAGGTCCAGGAAGTTCGCACCCCCAGGCCACCCCCTTACCAGGCTGTGTTGGCGGGAATCCGTACGCGGGGCGCTGACCAGGGTAACTGCGCCAATCTCGGCCAGAAGCCGCGCCTCTTCGGGCATCAGCAGAAGCGGAAGGCCGAGGCGTGAGTTCTGGCGAGGCCCGCGGGGCAGGGAGCCCACCGTGCGGCCCCCCACTCCCAGGCGCTCCCGCAGCGCCTGCACCGCCTCGGCCCCCCAGACCAGGGAGCAGCCGTTCGCCACCTCCACCACCAGCATCCTCCTACGGGAGTAGGGGTCACAGCGGTAGCATGGAGAGCCGCCCGCCTCCCAGAGTTCACCCACCGTCTTGGGGGTCAGGCGGAGCTCCGCCCCTTGCCCTCAGGGGACTGGGCACCGCTCACCCCACAGTTGCTACCTGCCGAGCCAGGCCCCAGGCCCCACCCGCTGGCGCCCGGCTCCGTCCCCGGATATCCTGCCAGGCCCCGGGGCCGCCCGAGACCAGGCCCCACCCCCCGGCGGGCTGCCGGA